GACTATTTGGTTCTTAACAACATGAATTATTTTGTCCTGTAAGAGAGATTCTAAAACTTTACAGAAATTGCAGATAAGGAAAATAACCCAATAATTTGTTATTTGGGATCTACATTGTTTTCTGTGTACGGGAATAATTTTCCATATACCAGGAGTGGCTTGGTTTCTCAGACACAGATTAAAAAGTGTGAATTTAGGTTTAATAACTTTAAGAGCTTTTTCCACCTCATATTTAGAGAACATCTGTACGTTTATATTTTCAGAGTGGTGTGAATCACTAATACCATTAAAATTTTTGAGAGAATCCCCGTTAGAAAATGACGGTCGAAGACATAGTGCAAAAGAATTGAGTTTATCTTGCCGAGTATGTAACTCAGTGTCAGTAAAATTCATAAAACCTGAGATTTCGATTTTGTTTTGAATAAACGACCAAAATTTATTAGGATCTTTTATTATGTCATATTCAATTTTCAGTATATAGTTTTATAGGAGGCCCAAACTTCAGATTTTATCTTCGACCAGTCATTTAAAATTTTGCAATTCTTAGGAACTACAATTTTCTTTCTTATTTTGTATATTGTATTTCAATTAAACCAGAGTGGATACTTATTAATAGCCGACTTACATATGTCAATAATTTTATGCGTAGCTTTTTTAAAATTGAAATTATTATCTAGTGTTATGGAAAAATGGTAATATTAGAGAGAGAACCAAGGTACGACTTCTGAAAACTCGACATTTTCCATCACGACTAATGGATGAGGATCTTGGACGCTGAACTCATCAAGTCGCATGAAAGCCATATGGTACCGGAGGAAGTTAGGGTTTCTGTGAACAGCGCATAGAATTGAATAGTCTGGATCGTGAAAGATCGCACCCAACAATTAAAGACACATAACAACATAAGACAAACGACATGTGCCCAACTGTGTTACAAGGAAAATTAGACTGCAAAAGAATAATAGGCAGATGTCTCGTTAGATTTATAAATCAAAAGTACCTTGTACCATGCACTACTCAAGAAATCAAGCTAGGATTTGAGAGAATGAAAGAAATAAAGGTCTACTAACTTTGTAATAAATAAATAAATAAAAAAATGTAATAAATAAATAAATAAATGGCAGTTTAGTCTCGACTCGAAAAACTCGCGACGTTAGTCAACACATGGCGTTTGTTTTCGAACCAAATGCTGACGTAATCCCCCCACCCCGCCGACCTGAAATAAAACCGCCGTAATCCCGAATCTAGTCGGTTTTATCCCTCGCGAAACGCCCGTCGCAAAACACCATTTCCCGAAAGATAACATCACTATAAAATTTGCATATTTATGAGAATGTAGTTGATTCTAGCTTTTGGCCGGCCCGCTCTAGTTTTCCGGTAGTTTTTCCGGGAAATCCCGCGGCGGCGGCGGGCGGCGCCCCACATTTTAAACACTTTTTAAATCGCCGCGGGAGTTTTTAATTATTACGCCGGCCATTTTGGATACTCGCGGGCTCGCGGCTAATGCTTTATGGACGGAGAAAAAAAGTCGGACGCAGAGTTTCGCCGACACGGAAAAGCTAATAGACGGTTTTTCGGAAAATTGTTGCGCGGAAGTTTCAGCTAATTGCATGTGGCGAACATTAACATTTAATTGGCATTCTATTCGATATTTTCGAAATGGGTTTAAAATGTCACGACGTGGATTTGGACTTTTCCATTTTTGCAAATATTTCGCTCGGATCAGATTCTTCCATATCGATTTACGAGAATTTCTTAATTTATAAATAATCCTTAGATATGCAACGCACTATACTAATCTAATCTATCCAGGCCTCTGCAGGTACTGCGGTAGGTATTAGGGGACAGAACATTAGGGACGAACTTTTGCTTATTTGGGTGGGTATTAACTCCGCCTGGGCGGTTGTTTGATGAGTTGAGTAACTTAAAGTCCGGGTAAAAGGAAGAAGGTTCTCAGGCTAGGAGTGCTCACAGAACTGAAAGAACAGCCTCGGAAACCGATCGGAATCATACTATGGCGGAAAAATGACCTAGGAAACGTAAACGCACCAACACTTGCCTGCTCAGATTGACATACGCGCTCTATCAGAAACGAAGAGGAAAGGTCAGGGCACATCAAGATATGATGATCACATCTTAGCGTACAGCGGAAGAGCTAAGCAAGAACGACCACAATTGGGAGTGGGAATTTTACTCCACGAAGAATACTAACAATGTATAGAAAACATTGACTACATTAACATATACATTTGGTAATACCAGAGATCAAAATCCGTAATAAGTAACAGGACATCACACCATAACAAACAATAAATGTAAGAGCATTCACTTCAGCGAACATCGGCATAGATCACAATCCATTACTGTCTAAAATGATCATGGAAATTCAAGTTCAAAAAACCTTCAGTAAGCATCGAAAAGCTTAATATTGAATCACTAACAGACGATGACACGAGAAGCCTATATAAGAGCTGATTAACAAATGAACTGAAAGGACTTAATACGCTGGAGTGTGAATACCTGGCTCCGACACGAAGTTAAAGAACTTTCGCAACAAAAAAAGAAATCCTACCTTATAAACAGGAGCGAGAAAAACGTTCCGAATACGCAGAAGTGAGAAACAGAATCAAAGCCATGAAACGAGATTATTGGGCAAAATTTGCAAGCGATACGGATCACGACCTATATGGAGCACAGAAGAAAGACTGGAAGATGCTCACGAACAGCAAAAAGCGCATAAATGAATTTGTGCACACAAAAGCAACTTCAGGGAACCTTATACCGACGGAGAAGCCAAAAGCATCGAAAACTACTAGACAAATAATCAAATATTACGCAACGAAGAAGTAATAACAAAAATAAAAAAATTGAAAAACAGGAATATACCGGATATAGGAAATAGTTACGGAATGGCACAAAAATATAACTATCCATATATTCAAGAAAAGACAAAAGACGCACCCACACAACTACAGGGGCAAAACACTGTTGAACACAAGCATGAAGCTCTTTACTAGCATTTTGAAGGAAAGGCTTGTAACACAAATAACAAAGAGGGAAGAACAACAAGGCTGGAATGAAATAGATCCATTATCAAACAACTAAAAGAAAAATCAATCGAATGTGAACTGAGGTGGCTTTTACTTGATGAAAATCCATTTATCAAAATAAATAAGAAGTAAAAGTTCAGATTTCTACGAAATTATATATTTTGACATGACAATTGTTTCGACAACACCGTGTCTTTATCAAATATCAATGTCATTTGATAAAGACACGATGTTGTCGAAACCATTGTCATGTCAAAATATATAATTTAGTGAAAATCTGAACTTTTAGTTCATATTTATTTTGATTTCAATCGAATTTGATACACCAGCGTGTATCTGTTACATCGATATCATAGATATGCTCATAGCCAAAGAAACGCCATCGTAAGAGCAGTCCACAGTAGTATCAATATGAACAACATGACCAAAGTAAAGACAGGAGACACCTATACAGAAGAGATACCGACACCAGGAGGCATCAGACAAGGTGAGAGCCTTAGCTTATTTCTGTTCAATCTCTTAATGGATAGAGTTATAGAGGATATGGGATATGGGATACTGAATGGGACAGAATAAAATAATCAGCATGATGCAGCTATTTTCGCGGAAACGCTGCACATATCTATATAGAAAACGCATGACCTTTGCTAAGCCCGTAAGATATAAACTGGTAGTTCAGGACAAAATCGTCGAGCAAGTATCACAATTTAATTTTCTGGGTATCAATCTGTCGAGTTATCACGACCTTGTGAAGGACCTGAGAAGCCAGATCAACAAAGCGAACGAATACATGCCAAAGGAGAACAAGGTTAGGATCTATAAGACCTGTGTCAGACCAATCATGACATACGGAATAGGAAGCAGAGAAGAAACCTACAAAACGAAAAGCATGCTTGGAGTAGCCGAAATTAAAACTCTCAGGACTGTAGTGGGAAAAACAAGAGAGACCGAATTAGGAACACTGACATCAGGGAACAATGTGGCGTGCAAGACATCGTAAGATGGGGGAGACAAAGAAAATTATACTGATACGCTCACGTGAGAAGAACGGAAGAGAGACGACTGCCACGGACTAACCAATAGGAAAGAGAGCACCTCGAGGACCACCTAAGAGATGGAAGGACAGCTGGCCACCTCTGAGGAACTGATACAGAGGAACCTACAAAACTAACAGATCACGAGATCTTAAATATGAATAAGAAGAAGAAAAAGAAGGTATTATCTTATTAAATTAAACTAAGAAAAATCAATGACATTTGATTTATATAACAAATTCAGAGCTAGGAATATCTATACATAATTACATTTTTATTCTAAATGTCTAGAAATTTACCTAAACAAAAAAATTCATGTTTTGTTAACAGGTACAAAAGTAATACAATTTATATTTTATTCTAACGCTGCATGCTGAAAACCTTGTGCAACTGAAATGTCAACAAGCAATGACTTTTTTTTTTTCATAGCGATGCCTCCGCAGTACTGAATATAGAAATATTTTGTTTCTGAACTCTATAGACAGTTGCATTGGACTTAGAGGGGGGAAAGAAGGAATTCAATGCAAAAAGTTTTTGTTCAATTAAACTTAAATCAATGGCAGAGGTCAATATTAAAGTATAAAAGATGTCAAAATAAACTTTATACAAGAATATTATTACTCTGAAACAAGACAAGAATAGAATGGTAAAGATATTAAACATATTATTGAAGCAAGGCTTAGAATTGAATTTTTTAGAATATTTAGCACTATTTCACAAACATGCGTCAACACCGAAGACTTTCTATAACTTTCTCAGTCAGTTATCCAGAAACATGCCAGCATCTGATTTTTGGATTTCCTGTAAAGATACTTATCTAGGATCTAGAGACTCTGAGAACCGGACGCATCTTATGTAGTACCCACATTATAGATAAAAGCGCTACCTGGTACAAAATCTAGAAATATTTGCTTACCGTTCGATTGCCCAGATTCTTGACGCGACAGTGGAGCAAAACGGTGTTGCCGACCAGACCCGTTATATTGTAGTTTATGGTCGTATCGAAAGATGGTCCAGTTTCGGGAGTGGGCCACTCTTGCAGAAAATCACGGAACTTCTTCGAGCTCACGCTTTGTTCGGCGCCTGTAAAGAAGTCCGCCTTGAAAAACTCACCAAAGTGTTGTACGTACACAGAAAACTACTTAAGTAACGCACACGGATATTGGAAATCAATTTTTTATTGCTAATTGGGTCTAAATTATTTTATTTACATTTTTTTGTAGAACTATTTATTTATTATTATGTATAGTTTTGTTTTTAAGGATTGCAGAGTGGACTGGCTCAAGTAACTTTGACACTGTGAAGCAAGCAATAAACTGAACTAACGAAAACTACTTCCTTTTTAGAAAGTATTATTGCTAATGTTAAAACACGTTCTTTGCATGAGAAAATTGGATCTATTTGCTCGTCTCTATGTTGTGTGAACTAGTATTACCAATTATTGAATCTTGAATCATTAGCGAAGAAGCTAAACCATGAAGAGAATGTGGCTCCATACTTCACTTTATCTATTACCATGAGGCAAAAAATTATAAAATAATTGTAAATAAATTATAAAATAATTTTTTGTTTCAACATTTATTAGGAACTGAGAAAGTCAAAATACCATCCGTGTTTTAGATGTATGCGAAAATATCCGACCGCTCTCAACCCGTGACTAAAGTCTCAGCTATAGTGTTTAGTAAAAGTGACATTTTGCGCAAGCGGTTTGAGCGGAAACGACTGTAAACTTTGAATTTTAAAAGGCACACCGACTCTATATTTTTGTATTTTGGAGATTTATTATATGCAGAAAGGTACATTATTGCCAATCTATTTCATTTATTTTTTTAATTGTAATTTTGATTATTGACATATTGATATTGATTATAGCTGGCAGTGTCCACAATTTACACCACGGTAATAAATAAATAATAAGCAATAATAAAGCAATAAATACATTTTCATAAAAATAAAATTTTAACCTAGTTATTGTTTATTTCGTTCTATTGATTTGAACTATTTTGACCAACAGTTAATTTAAGAATAACTTTTAAAAGTTAGAGAGAGATCCAAACAATTTTGTGTCAAATTTAATTTTCATTTTAACCCGAAGATCTGTAAAACATTTTATGCTCCGCGCGGGAAATAGTAAGTAAATAAATAAATGAAAAGAAAACAATTACTACTTGCTCTTTTCAGTGTAATAAAGACATTTCCTTTTGGTTTTAAAGCCAAGGCGCTTAAACTTCAGAAATTCCGTTCGAAGGAGACATCGTGTAGTGTACGCAGCATACGAAACACCGAAGTTTTATCGGGCAATTTTATTTTACGGCGGAAATAAGTTTTAAATTAAAATTTTAGAAATCTCGGAAGGGTATTCGGCTCCGAGTTGTAAAAGACTCATTTTCCGGAGCGAACTATCAGGCAATCCACACACACACAAAGGACAATTAGACCATCGCCTTTAAGAAATTTGGAGCTTAACGCTTATCCCGTTGTACACGGTACTCGTCAAGTGTTTTAATATTTGCATTGGATGATAAGAAAAAAGTCCATCGCACGTAAGTCCATTTTGCTCTATCTATTTTAGAAATTGGGGTTTCCTGTTAATGCAAATACGAGTTTTAAGGTCAGCACCAAACTGTACCGTAAACAATACACTAGTAGGTTTCGAACCTGATTCATTGTTCAGATTCAGCGACACCTGCAGTACAGTTTTAACGCATTGAATGTGAAAACGTCATTTTAAAAATAATGGCAAGCGAAAGCTTCAAAAAAAGAAATACTGAATGCCAATAAGTAAGGGGAGCGAATTTTGGTTCGTTTTGGTTCCATTTTAAAAGGGAAACTTCAACCTCGTCTTGACTTTTGAGATGCATACTGTAATATCTGTTATACCACTTTAGATATTTTAATGACATTTGGCATATATTTAAGGAATGTGACCATGTTTATTTTGGCAGACATGGATGGTATGCCACTGATTAAAATTAAAATTATTCTTACAATCTCCAATCATTTTTAAAGAAATTTAATCGAAGTTCGAATAAAAATTACGTAAGCTTTGAGATGTATTTTTGAAATCTTTATAATTATTTCTTATCATTGAAGTAGGTGTCTGTAAGGATTACTAATTCCGTTGTCAAGGCGGTTGTTTGAAAATTGTTTAAAATCAGTTTTTATACTCAGTTTTTCTCGTCTTATTAATTTCTTCTTCTTTCTGGTCGAGTTTACTAATGAAGATTGGCATGTGTGCATTTTATGTATGGTTTCGCTGATGGCAGTGAGCCGGAAGCTAGGCAATTATATCCAGAGCGCTTTCTTAATAGAGTCATACCAGAGATTTTCATATGTGTATAGAAGGTTGACTGAAACATGTACTTTGAGGGGGAATAATCATTTAAAAGGGACCCATCGGACTGTAAGAACTCCTGAAATTGAAGAAGCAGTTTAAAACTCCATTGATGAATTCCCGAACTCAATACTGGAAGCACTGGAAATAATCTGAATACCTCCCACGTCTTGGTTTGGAAAATTTTGCACAATTTTCTGTTGTACCATCCAACGAGTGTCAGCTTTGGTTTCCGGAGATTTTCCCTTGCTTGTTAATTTTTATCAATGTTTTTGGACAAAATAGTGAATTATCTCTTGTATGACCAAGAAATACTATTTACAGATTAAACTAACTTTTCCAGAAATGCAATCAGAAATTTCATGAGGACCCCCATACAGTTGTTGAATTTAAACATCAAGAACAGTTTTCGGAATTATTGGAAAATTTTGAAAGAAGAAGCACCATGTTTAAAATTATGAACACAATAAACACTTTAATGTTGCAATAAGAGGGTATTTAAATAACACCTTAGCTTCAAACATGGCCCAAGATTTAAATAGTTTCAACTTTTCCTTATGGGCACATCTTACAGGTCTGGTTTATCACGCTGTAGAAGAGCTGAAGAATCGAAAAGCTACCTGCGGTTTACTAAGAAACACTGGTGTATCCTTGAAGGTGAGGGATACTTTCAGAAACTTATCTAGTTTCTATGTTCTACTTTTTTCAAAAAAGTTGTTATTAATTTAATTTTTCAAAGAAACTTCCACAGGCTACTCTAATACTTTTTACAAAACTTCTGGATTCCTCCTGCGTCGGTTTTTGCTGAGTCGAAATTGCTGACGTTTCGCCAATCATCCTGTTGGCTTCTTCAGAGATTGACTGAAACCGGCTCGTATTTTACTCTGTACCTGCTTATATATATATATATATATATATATATATATATATATATATATATATATATATATATATATATATATATATATATATATATATGGCAGTGTTCGAAGTGTTTTCGGAGCGCGAGCATTGAAGATGCCAAGTGAGATTTTGGCGAAACGTCTGCAGGATTCCAGTCGGATGCAGGATTTGCAGGATTCCAGTCGGATGCAGGATTTGCAGGATTCCAGTCGGATGCAGGATTCCAGTCGGAGTTCAACGAGCGAACGGATGATGTCCCGGAGTGTAGTGTCATCATATATATATATATATATATATATATATATATATATATATATATATATATATATATATATATATATATATATATATATATATTGTTTGAGAGGGGCGCTAACGAGGGGCATAACCACCGACTCGGATAACTGATTTTATAGTTTATAGATTTCTATAGACTCTCGGATTTGTCGTTAGTAGAAGAACTGATTACATGCAAGAACTTTACTTTTATCGCATAAAATTTTATGTCCGGTTTCATGAGTGTGTTCGGTAACAGCTGATGAGTTTATTTGTCTTAGTCGTAAGGCTCTTTCGTGTTCTTTGAGCCTAGTTGATATTTTTCGTCCGGTTTTTCCAATGTATTCTTTGCCGCATATGCATGGAATGCCGTAAGCTCCTGGCATCCCAAATGGAATTTTGTCTTTGACGGACCGAAGATGAGAGATTTTTTGACAAGTGGTAAATCTGGTTTTGACGTTATACTTCTTTAGAACTTTTGATAAGTGGTCAGAGATATTTTGCATGTAAGGAAGGACCACAATGGCAAGTCTAGGATTGCTTTCGGGCTCATTGCTATTGAAAGGTTGTTGTGAAGCGTATTTTTTGATGGAACGCTTAATATCTTTAATGTGGAAATTATTAGAGAGAAGAGCAGAGCTAAGGTGTTTTAATTCTGTTTTCAGTGACTCGGGCTGAGATAGTTTTACTGCTCTGTAAACAAGAGAGTTGAAAACCGATGATTTTTGGGCAGGATGGTGATATGACCATGCATTAGGGTAAAAAACACTTATATTCAAGGTATACTGTTAAAAACTTGAATCCTTGAATATAACGCATATTAATTTAACTATGTCTCCCATCTATTATATAATATGAAAAAAAAAACATAATATTCTACCAAAAAAGGAGACGAGTTTATATAGTTGCAATACATTAATGAATCTGCGTATTTGACTTACGATAAATTTAAGTTGCAATTTAGCATCAACAAGCCATTTAGTTAATTTTTTTTAAAAGATTTTAATTTTATTTTATTTTTCATTTCTAGAGGTAGTGCGTTATAAATTTTTTGATCAGTACAAAATTAATTTTTTTGTCCAACAGATAAATGCATTTTTTTAAAGTTAAATTTTTTTCAAGTTTAAAGCGTGTTTCGTACTAGTGAGTTTTTGAATTAACCAAGAAGTTATTTATTATTAGGAACAAAAGGGATGATTTATAATATAATTTTTCTTATCTAAAGTATTTAAAATTGAGTAAAAATTAAGTCAGATCGATATCGCAGATTAAAGGGGCTGAAGAATTGTGTGATAGGCAGCACCCCAACCAATTATTCCATAAGATATAAATGATTTTAGCAGTGAACAACGAGTAGAAAGAAGTAATTGCTTACCAGATATTTTAGTAAGTTGCCGGAATAAATACATTAAGGATCGTAACTTTTTCACTAACTGTTCGACATGGAAGTTCCACTTGAGTCAATATGAATAGGTAACATGCTCAGCACGTAAAGACCAGCAACTATTTTATTAAGTTTATTGTTTGCAGGTAGTTGATCATTATAATTTGGTAAAAGGGCAAATATTGT